GTCCCAATGTTCCCAGCCACTTCCCCCACCAGCCCCCAACCCTGTTCCGATCCATAACACCGGCTTCACACCCTCGGCAGAGTCCAAACACAATCCTCCAATCTTCCCCTGACGATCTGTCAGATGCAGGTCTCCTGAATACGTGAGCCATGTGAGGGGAGACGACCCCAAGCAGATTGTGGTCAAGGTAAGTGGTGTCCTCCAATAAGTGGGCCTTGGTTTCACCCTTCACTTCTGCCGCATCAACAAGGCGATATCTCCCTTTGAAGCAAGCCTCAGATGAGGTGATCCACATGATAGTGCAGCCAGTATCTGCTTGTGCTCCTACATGCATTCCCTCCCAGAATTTTACCCAAAAGCAATCGAAGGCGAATGTAAGCTACTCCAGATAGAGCAACTATGTTGTGTGGGCAGGAGGATGTGCAGCTTACTGAGCGGCGGCCATTTTGGTGTGTAGACATCCCCCTGTCAGCTTCTCTCAGTATTGGAGGTACTCTATTTGTTCCATGTGTGCTTATGTGTAATATGTGTGCTTATGTGCTCATAAACAACTGGCTTGTTGTTGTTGTAAATGCAAAGTAAGACTAATTTGCTTAATCACAATACCTGGGAACTTTTCTTATTTGCCCATGATTCTCTTGGTATGAAGGCTTCTTTGCCATAGTTCACCAATGTTTCCAGGTGTGTTACCTATTGAGATATCCATTAATGGTTTAATCATTATAAATATAAGGAAAACCTTAAACCTCCACCTTAAATCAACATATATTTAAGAATGGGCCTTCAGGTATTGAACTTGTGAATCTTACTTCCTTTTGTAGCTTCATGGCTGGCCTACTCTTTGGGGCTCTGGCAGAAATGAACACTGACATCTGCGTTCGCATGGGTCTACTGGCAGCCCGCCTTTCCCTCCAAGCCCATGGACCCATTTCTCGTTTTATTTCCACTTCCACGGTCAGTCCACAGAAAGTTGAAGCGATCAGTTGGCCCAAGCCCAGAGTGTGGAATATTAATCCATCTAATGGAAAGACATTACTTTCTTCGAGACGTCAACAAAAGTTGTAAGGAGGCCTCTGTGCATTTCAAGCAGCAGCAACCATTGATACACCATAATATATACTCCTAAACATGTTTTTAAAAAAAAGAAAAACACATCTCCATATGCATAAAAAGGACAAATTGTTTATAGGAGTCCACAGATGCAAAATACATCTTTCAGGACATGTATAGAGTAAACACGTGAACTGTACCATTTAAGATGTCTGCAATCAGTAATTTTATAACATGACAGGAGGCTTCATATTTTGCATAATCTCTCTTTACTAGCTTCAAAGCAGCAAAGAAAGACAGAAAAAAAGGAACAAATCACAAGTGAGTAGGATGTACATGAGGTATAGTGACCTAAGAACTTCCGCTTTCTTTGCTGCTCCATCAAGCAGGCAGGTCAGAGTATAACTCTTCTCCATTACTTTATGTTCTTATTGCCTCTCTTGGGGTTGTGTCTTTATTCTATTTGGTATATTTCACTGTTGCAATCTGCAATATACGTCTATGCTACATTCATCTTGTGTTTTTCAGATTATTTTATTGTATTTTACATGTTAACTGTTGGACAGGATTTTTCAGGACATACTGCTTCAAGGGATATCTCTCATAACCTTGAATTAACTGTTTGAGCACAGATTAATGGTCTCTATCAGGGCTGTGGCCAGCACTTAAGGTTTCATACCCTGTGCACCAGGGGTAAGCCCCCTACTATAGTTATACTACACTGTTGCAGCCTCTGTTTACTGGGTGAGCCCCAGTCTATTTTATTTGGCAACTGTTAAGATTACAACCCTGTAGGGGTTCTGTGAGCTTTACCTGCTACTGTTGTAGTCTGGTCTGTTTGCCCTGCATCCTGAAATTACCTACTAATTTGTGCATTCTAAAGGGGTGTCCCATATCATAATAAATCTGCCTGCCTACTAATTTGGATGAGCCCCTATTCTGTATCATACGATTTGCCACTATGGAAGATTCCCTGGCTAACCCTGTGGACTTTCAGGCCATGATACACGCAGCGGTGGCTGCATTTGTGGAGTAAGCACTCTTTAAAATGTGCTTGCAGATGGGTCCCTTACCAGCACCGGCCACCAGACGAGCCCAATACGAGGCGTACTCTGATGCCTTGGATGTCTCCGCTAAGGGGTCTCCCCATCACAGCAAGCACCACTGGAAAGGTGAAGGCACTAAACCTCAACGCAAAGCCCCCGCCAAATCCAGCACTTGCCCCGACCCCATGGATAGACTACTCCTCGGACGAGGACCGTGACCTGACACATTCCTTGTCCATTCTGGAAAAATGGTGTGCAGATGTGTTGGAATCTGACGATGACTGGGGTTCGGAAACCACATCTGGCTCTGCATTCGTGTACAAGACTTTTCTCGATGAGCCCCAGATGGCCGAGGGTGACGGTACCTCACACACTACAGCCCAAGAGGATGCGGAAGCAATCCTGGATCCTACTGGTCAAAAGCTATTTGATTCATGCAAGAATTGTCACCCATGTTCCTCTGGATAAAGATGTTCGGAACCGCTTGCGGTCCGAATGCCCACGCCTTTTCCTGCCCAGACAAAGTTGCTCTGACACCTGAGTTTGATCAGCTGATGATAACCTTCATGGCAAGGAGGGGCGAGGATGGAAGAGAGGATTCAGAGGCGCCCAAGACAAATTGCTGGACTCTATCGGCCCCCTCTCAAGGATAAAATACCTGGCAGATGACGTGTTCATGAGGGCGGACTCCTTTGATGCTGGCACCATCAGGATCACGATTTCCGTGAATGGGCACAGAGATATTTCTGTTTCGTCAGAAACACCAATGTTTGCCTCTCCTCTGAGAGGCGCAAAAGCAGCACTCCTCCGTATTGACGCAAAGTTGGTGGATCTGGAGCCAAAGAATTAAGAACCGGGCATAAGGCACACTCTTCGATGATGCATTCATGAGGGAGCTTAACAAACATGTTAATGTTTTCACTTCTCACACCAAGACCCAAAACTTTCATGAGGAAGGTGTTCATTGGTAACCCCACTAGGGTTTTTGGCACGGCTGGTCGACAAATGGGCCATGTCACCCCTGTACCTCACTACCACAACTTTTTTTTACCTGGAGGTGGATGGAAGACAACCATTCTGGTACTCCAAGTGATCAAACAGAGGACACGGAACGTGCCGTTTTTCCTCAGGTAAGTGTCCCTATGGTATCACCGACTGTGCTTTCTACAACGCCCACATGGGATACCGTCACTTCAAGATGGGAGGCATTCAGACTTATTAAGGAGACCTGAGTCTGCTTTCCTGTGGCGCAGTCAACCTTGGCAAGTCACTTGCCTCCTTAGCTCGGCTCCTTGTTATTTTACGAAGCTACTGAAACATGTGATCGCTCACATGCGGGCCAGGGGGATAAGTTGCATTATTTACATGGATGATATCCTTCTGTTCAGTTCCAAGAGCTCAAGACTACGTCAACACACTACAATTCTCCATGGTCCGAGTGAAATTGTTGGGTTTCATAGTGAATCGACAAAAGTCTGCGATGGCCCCTTCCAGGATGGTCAAATTCTAAGGATTTAACATCTACTCCGTGTCTTGCACCCTGAAGCTACCCCCTTCAAAGATCTCCACTATCGACAGGGAAATTCACAAGGTCCTCCGTTGCAACATCCTTCCGCATACTCGCCCGGATCATGGACTACTGTCTTCCTCCATCCAGACTATCTTCCCGGGCCATGCAAAGCTTTAGAGCTTCCTCAGGTGACCAACTGGTTCTAGTGACAGACGAGGTGCTAGGAAAACTCCAATAGTGGTTGGACAGCATGCAGGTCTGGACCAGCCGTGCCATTTATGGTAACCAACTGGACTTCGTCCTGGAGTCGGATGCCAGCCTGTGGGGCTGTGGGAGCAACCTGCAAGAGAGCACCCACAGGAGGCATGTGCACAACTCAGGACGTTTCCTTTCACATCAACTGCCTGGAACTAGTGGGGTCCTTCACTATCTGCAGCCTGGTGAAGGGGTAATTCGTTTGTTGCATCCTACTCTGGATGGACAGTGTCAGCAGTCCGGTATATCAATCACCTGGGTGGCGATTGATATATGTCATATATCACGAATATCATATTCAATTATTTCTGCTTCCCTTGCAGGATCTCCCTGAAGGTGGAATACCTCCCTAGGGAGACTAATCTCACCACGGATTTGTTCTCCCACCTTTGGAGGGACAGCAACCAGTGGATGCTGAATCCCCAGGTGTTCGCCACCATACCATCTTTAAGGGGTCCATTTTACATGGACCTGTTCACATCCCGCAACAACCACCAGACATTGTTCAGTTGGCTGCCGGATCCGGAGTGCATGGCGGTGTTTTCCATCACCTCCATGTGCAGCGAGTAACACTGACCTTGGTCACCCCGCTGTGGCAGAGCCAACCTTGGTTCCCAGTCCTTCGGGGACTGTCCTGCGAGGATCCCCTCCTCCTGTTTTTTTATACCCAACATTTTTATGAACCCGAATTGGAACCCACACTCTCTGCTCCTGGAGGATCAGCTGCCCCTGGTGGCCTGGACTCTTTCTGGGGTTCCTGGAAGATCGGTGAACTATCGCAGGCTGCTAGGAACCTCTGATGCTACCTCTCTACCAGAGCTTCCTTGTCTGGTTTAAGTTTGGACGGAACTTTGATCCATTTACTGCCTCTGTTTCCTCGGTCCAAGAATTTCCTCTCATCACCTTTTTCATTGGGTCAGTAATGCGATCCATTATTGTGGTACATTCGGCCATTTCAGTGGCCCACATAGCCACTTAGCAGCATCTGCCTCCAGCAAGGTCCCAAGTACACCCACTTATGGGACGTGGAGATTGTTCT